CCCACTGATGCATTTGGTCTCCTTCACCATGAGATGAACCTGCTCATTCCCTGAACTAACTGGATGCTCTCCTGAACAGCAGGATGGCCATTCTGTGACGTGCCTCCCACACTCCCTCCAGGGATTTTAACTGCCCACCCTGAGCTCAAAGCATCCAAGTTTTCAGTTTTCACATCCTCAGCTCTTTCTGCYCCGTTTGGGAGCAGCAGCCCCAGCAGAGCAATAATGTCCTGTTCTGCTGTGTTACCATTTATCCTGAGTGCATTTCCTGGCTCTCCTGGAGTCATCCCTGTCATGTCACCCTGACTCTGATGCTGCTGGAGTGGCTGCAGTCCCCTGAGCTCATGTTGCTTTCTCCAGTTGCTCAAGGAAGGTTTCTTCCACTTCCTTCTGTCTCACAGTGTGTGATGTGTTCCCAGTGTCCCCCTTGCCAGTCTCTGCTGTCATCCCTGCCCTTGAGATCCTGACCAGTCCATTGCTCGTTCAGCAGCAAATTCTTCACTTCTTCAGTCTTCTTTCTGTGGAAAGAAGTTATCCACCTTCCACATTTTCACTGAAGAGTCTCTGTCCATCCACCACCCCTCTGTGATATCAAGGAAGTCATAGTGCTGGAAGTGTGACTGGAAGTGTTCCAAATTCCAAATCCACAGTGCTGGAAGTGTCCAAATCTGCCTGCTTCCCACACACATCCGTGTCCAGGCACAGAGGAGGGTCCCTGGGTGTTTCATTTCCTGCAGGAACCCCAAAATCCCAGACTGCTCTGGGTTGGGAGGCACCTTAAACACCATCTCATCCATCTGGAGTGTCCAGTTCCAATCCAGCTGCAAAACCTCTCTGCCTGGGTGCTTTGTTCCCCATCAGAGCTCCAGCCTCAAGCTACAGATGCCTGAAGGCATTGTCACAGGGTCAGCAAGGCTGGCACTCCAATGTCACCTGTCACGTCCTCTGTCCCCAGCTGCCACCATCCCCARAGTGGCCATGGGAGCCCTGATTCTGTCCCTGCTCAGCCAGATGTTGACCTGCAGGACACATCTGCTTCCACTCAAACCTTTCCCTTGGCTGCAGGGTCCAGAATTTATCTGATCTTTAATTTCTAGGGGAAAAAAAAAAAAAAAAAAAAAAGATTTCCTAATGACTTATCACTGTGAATTTATCCAATTAAGGGCAAGGGGCCTAAATAAAGTAGGTATTGCTGACATTTTATGTATTTTCACATAATTTACTTAATTTTCTCTGCTGAAAGGAATAAATTTAAAAGGAATAACAGTATTCCTTAATGGCAAATTTAAAACAAGCTGTTAAATGAGGAAATAGAATTTATTTTTCTAAATAGACTGTATTTGCTAACTAATCAAAGACAAGTATAAGCACATTCTTGAAATCTCTCTGGTTAAARTCAGGTAAAAAGAAATCAAAAGAAGGCAATAATATTASAATGTYAYTGTTTTGAACTTCATTGGGAAAAGSAGATAACYKCCATCCCTTGACCTCTTTGCAACTGCTAATCATCAAAGACCTAGCTCTTTTAATAAACTAGATTCTAAGTTGCAAACAACATAACTGYTACAGAAATGTTTGCTCAATTCTGAAGTTTGTAATCTCATGCAGACTTTTAGACTGCTGCTTCTATTCCCTAACAGAATAAAAGAAGG